TCCTCCTCCTCCTCCTCCTCGCATCCCTCCTCCCATCCCCCCCCCCTCCCTCCTCCCATCCCCCAGAGCCAGGTCATCCGCGCCGTGTGCGGCGTCACGACGCACACGTCCCGGACGTGCCACGGCTGCTCGACGCGCTTCGACGTGGATAGGGCGACGAGCGCCCCCCCGCCGGCCCCGCCGCCCCTCCTCTTGGGGGGCCCGGTGTGCGTAATCATTGGGCGCCTGGGGTCTCCCTGAAGCGTTCGGGCTTTTGCTGTTCGGTTATGTTCGCTGGGCCTCCTCGAGACCTTCGGAGGTTTCTGGAGGAGGAGGAGGAGGAGGAGGGTTTCTTCAGGAGGAGGAGGAGGAGGAGGAGGAGGAGGAGGAGGAGGAGGAGGAGGAGGAGGGGGAGAGCTGAGGGCAGGTGGTCAGGGCGGAGCGGGAGAGGGGGTGAGGTAGAAGGGGGAGGGGGAGGGGGGAGGAGGAGGAGGAGGTGTAGGGATGGTAGCGTCTGGCCCAGGACTCCGACGCCTACAACCCGAGCCCGAGGAGGAGGAGGAGGTGGAGGAGGATGAGGAGGACTCTTCCTCATCCTCCTCCACCTCCGAGTACGCGATATATCGGCTGTCCGATTTCCGATTTCGACACGGACGACAACGACAACGACGACGACGAGAACATGGACTTGGGGAACGAATGCGTCTGGCCCGAGGAGTCCTGGGAGGCGGAGGAGGTAAACGTCGACATTTGAGCGGACAAAGGGTGGACGCGGCCAGAGGAGCTGCCAGAGGGGGCGCGACCCCTGACGGGTCTGGGCGAGCGGCCTAAAGCAGATTCTATAACCGCGCGCTGGGGAGACGGCGGTGGGGAAGTGGGTTAGTGGCTACCGAGGGAGATGAGAGATAAGGGAAATGAAGGGAGTGAGAGAAGAAGAAGGGAGTCAAATTATCAAGATCGGGCTGATGCCAGCTCATACTTGCGATTTAATAGGATCTCTTGATGCGCCCCTGAGCTGCTCCTTCAGCCGATTGGGTGGCCCTGAGATAAGTCGCAATTGAGAGCCTTTATAAGGAGGACGAGGTGGAGGAGGAGGATGACGAGGAGGAGGATGAGGAGGAGGAGGAGGAGGAGGAGGAGGAGGGCAGCTGGCCAGGGCCAGGGGGGCGAACGCCGCCGCACCGGCGAGGCGGGCCAAGCCAGGTTCCGATAGGTTCCGTGGGGCAGGCGGCGGGCTCATCCGTGCACCTGTCCTCGCCCACCCTGCTGCCACCCTCCCCTCCTGCGCTGCGTCCTCCAGTAGATGGACAATATATTCGAACCCTCACACATTCGAGGGAGATTCTACATCACCCCCGCGCCCACGACATCAATGTTGATCTCAGCAAAGGCGGTGCTTTGGGGTTCGAATGTTTCTGTCCATTCACGCCCCCCCCCGTCGCCACTCCATCAGTATTAATTTCGGGGGGTCGGGGGGGCATCTTAGGCCACAGGGTTCGAATGTAATGTCCATGTACGGTCCCAGGTTCCACCCCGATCCTCGTCGATCCGATCCGACACGGTCGGGAACTGCGGCTTGGCGTGTCGGGCCGCCGGTTCTGGCCCCCCACGCTTCGGCGCGGCACGCCCACCACTCTCTGGTCCCCGAGCGTCAGCGTCCCGAGGCGTTCCTGGCCTCCCGCCCCGCGGAGCGGAGCGACACGCCATCCGCTTACAAGGCATAGCTTTTCGCCGAGGCCGCCGCCGCGAGAGCTTGGCACAGTCCCTGAACGTCTCGATTTCGACTGGCGCGATGGGGTTTGATTCCGATATTCCGACGATCCGATGTGGCGCGGTGCTTCCTTGTGTATCTTGGCGCGGCCGATCCAGTTTGATTACAACTCCGTGCCGGCGCGGTCCGATCCGACGCAGCTTCCGATCCGATCCCATTTGTCGGCCAGATGATGGCCGATCCTGCCTCCTCGTCATCCCGACAGTGCCGAGGGGTGTCCTTGCTGAGGACGTCGCCAGCTCCTCCTGACATTCGAGGCTCGCTGATCAAGGGCCGAGGAGATTTTTGGGGCGATGGTGAGCGCGTTGGCAGATTCTGAAGGCCACAGGGGGCGTCATCCTCGAGGAGGCGGCGACCCCCCCCCCAGTACCCACCCCCCAGTGGTGACTTCCCATGGCGCTGTCCTCCTCCTTCATCCTCCTCCGTCCCCCTCCCTCTGTCCTCCTCCCTCCTCCTCCTCCTCCTCCTCCTCCTCCCTCCTCCTCCTCCTCCTCCTCCTCCTCCTCCTCCTCTCCTCCTCCTCTCCTCTCCTACTCCTCCTCCTCCTAACTCTCTCTCCTCTCCTCCTCCTCCTCATCCTCCTCCTTCCTCCCCCTTAACCCCTCCTCCTCCTCCGCTCCTGCTTCTCCTCCTCCTCCTCCTCCTCCTGCTTCTGCTCCTCCTCCTCCTCCTCCTCCTGCTCCTCGTCCTCCCCCTCCCTCCTCCATTCCTGTTTCTTACAGGTAACCCCTCCTTGTCGCACCCCGAGGTCGGTCGAAAGGGCGGGCCGGGCTGAAATTTCCTAACCACTAATGACCCTGAAACTTCAAGATTGACAACAGCTTCACGGATCGAGGGCAGCTCGTTTTCAAAATGTGGCTCTCGCCGTAGCGCTGCGCACACTCGTTTTAAACATTTGCCAGAGCTTCACGGATTGAGGGCGGGTCGTCTTCAAAATGTGGTTATCGCCGTATCGCCGTAGCGCCGCGCCTCCCCCATACTTTTTCCTTCTCGGCAATTCCTCCCCGTCGCTCCCCGAGACGTGTCAGTAGGGCGGTCTGGGCGTTTTGCCTGGGACTTCCTCACCACTTACGGCCATGGAGCTTGAAATTCGCAACAGTGTCACGGATGTTGGGCGGATCGCTTTCAAAATGAGGTTGTCCCCTCAGCGCCGCGCGCACTCGTTGTAAAAAATGCCAGAATTTCAAGGATGGAAGGCGGGTCGTTTTATGTGACTCTCGCCGTAGCGCCGCGCACATTCGTTTTAAAAGTCTGCAAGGGTTTAACGGATGGAAGGCGGTACCTTGTCAAAGTGCGGTTCTCGCCTCAGCACCGCGCACATTCGCCTTGATAGTTTGCAGCAGTTTCAAGGACTCCCATGGTTCGCGTCATCAGGGAGGCGATTTGGGAAGGTTCTGGCCCGGCGTCTGTTTGCTTGCTGGCTTTTGCCTGGATGAGGGTGAGGGTGTCGGGATCGCTTGCTTGCTGTTTGGGCGACCTTGGCTTTGCTGCATCTGCTGGCTTTCTGGGGCCACCTTGAGGGGCGCCCTGGGGCTCCCCCGATCTCCCCCGAGGCTCCAATGGGGCTGTTGGCGGCCGCGGGGAGCAATTCCTGAAGGGGCTACTTGCCACCGACCCCTGGGCCCCAGGCATCGAGAAGTTCCGGGAGGCACTGCGGAGTCTGAGCAGGCCTCGACGAGTTCTGCGTAGTTTCGGGGGGCATTGAGCAGCCAGCGGAGTTTTGGGGAACCCTTTACGAGTCTGTGAGAGGCCCTGGGAAGCCCTCGCGGACTGGATGGCTCCAGGCAGCCATGAGGAGGCTCGCTATCTTGAGGCCATCTTGTGGATACATTGGGACAGCTTCGCGGCCTTCTCGGGCAATTTCGGGGCCTCTCGGAGGCATCTTGGAGCCCCTGAGGCTGGGGCCCGCGTGGGGCCCTGGCGGCGGGGGCGTGCCAAAAGCAGAAGTTGAACGGAATACTCGTCATTGGCGCTCGAGGCAGTGCTCCGCGTGGGCGCCCGATGACAGGGGCGCGCCAAAGGAGATCGAAGGAGAACTTGAAAGCGAAACTCGCCATTGTCGTTCGGGCTCGTGCTTTGTGCGGGGTCCTGGCGGTGGGGTGGCGAAGAATCATAAGCTGAACACATTGCTCGCCATTGTCGCTCGGGGCCGCGCAGCGTGCGGGGCCCCGGCGGCCGGGAGGTGCCGGTTCAGAAATGGATTGCAGCATTCGGTATTGTTTTTCGAGACGGTGCTTTGCGCGGGTGATAGCGCCCTCCCCCCGCCGTATGGTGCCTTGCTAAACGTGGCGGACAGAAAATGCTTTGCGCGGGGGGCCTGGCGGCGGGGGCGTACCGAAAGAGAATTGAAACATATGAGTCATGATTATCGTTCGGAGTTTTAGTCCGTCTGCTGTTTCAGTTTTTGTTCGTCAAGGTGGTTTGGAAAAAAGGTTGTTGTTTGCCTCCCTGCTGGTTTGAACGGGCTGATGTTGGAGGCTTTTTTTTTCGCGTCCCTTCTTGAGGGGTCGGAGTTTGCATTGGGTTTACCTGCTGATTTCCTGAAGTCTTTGTGTGTAGAGTCGCTATCCTGATTTAACTTCCCAGAAATGGTGTTTTGGAACGAGGTGGTACCGTCAGGGCGGAGCAGTAACGTTGATTCGCGATGCTGAAGTCCCAGGAGTGGTATTCTGGCACGATTCAGGACCGTCAAAACGCAACAGTAAGGTTGATTCGTGGCGTTGGGGTCCCAGGAATGTTGCTCTGGCACGGTTCAGGGTTTTCAAACGGCTGCCTTCCAACGGGGCACTTCCCTCAGTGGAAGTGGATCACTGTAGGGGCCCATGACGAGGGAGCTTGGAGGGAGGGTGCATTGCAACATCGTTGATGGGTCTTGGGTTTACACTGGTCCTCCTCCTCCTCCTCCTCCTCCTCCTCCTCCTCCTCCTCCTCCTCCTCCTCCTCCTCCTCCTCCTCTTCCTCCCCCAGGGGGGCGGCGCGAGAGCGCGAAGCGCGAACATAGCTTCCCTTGGTATCGTCGGATAGCTGCCCTTGGTATCGTCGGATAGCTGCCCTTGGTACAGTCAGAAACCGGCCCTTGGTATTGTCGGAGACCTGGGCATCCAGCGCTCCCTGCTGGGACGGCCCAGTGGCTTCCGACCCCGACGACGTCGACGCGAAAGCCGGCGGCGAGCCCGACGACGTCAACGCAAACGCCGATGGCGACGACGACGACGACGACGACGACGACAACGACGACGACGAGTCCGACGCCGTCGACCGCGCTGCGATCCTCGCGCGCCAGCCCCTGGGGGCTCCGCGTGGTGCCCCCGACGGCGGGCCATGGCCGGCGCTCCCGGGGCTGCGCCAGGCAGCTCACCGTGCCGCTACGTTCGGGCAGCGTCAAACGGGAGGCCACTTCCTCCAGCTTACCTCCTCCATCATCATCACCACCACCAACACCACCATCATCATCAGCAGCAGCATCATCATCGTCGTGGTCGTCGTCGTCGTCATCATCATCATCATCATCATCATCATCATCATCATCCTCATCCTCATCATCATCATCCTCATCATCATCATCATCCTCATCCTCATCATCCTCATCATCCTCATCATCATCATCATCATCATCATCATCATAGTTATCATCATCATCAACATCAACATCATCATCATCATCATCATCATCATCATCATCATCATCATCATCATCATCATCATCATCATCATCATCATCATCATCGCCAGCATCGTCATCATCATCATCATCATCATCATCATCATCATCATCATCACCATCATCATCATCATAATCATCATCAGCATCATAATCGTCGTCGTTGTCTTTATCGTCATCGCCATCGTCATCGTCATCGTCGCCATCATCAGTAGCAGCATCATCATACCACCACGATCACCACCACCAGCATCATCGTCATCATCATCGTCGTCGTCGTCGCCGTCGCCATCGGCATCGGCATCGTCATCACCATCCTCGTTATCCCTATTTCATTTCATATCATCTAATCTTCCTCCTCCTCCTCCCCCTCATCATCATCGTCGTCATCATCAGCATCATCGTCCTCATCCTCATCTTCCTCCTCCTCCTTCTCCTTCTCTTCCTCCCTCCCTCTCCCTCCTCCCTTCCTCTCTCTTTCTTTCTTACGCAACAGCCCGAATCCCTGCTAGGATGGCAGATTGCCTACTACAACACTCGTCAAAAATAAACAGAAGTATTCTGTTTTCGGTACTTGTATGGTCAGAGCTACTCCAATGCTGACACCAGATAAGTGACTTGGACGCGAGGGTGTCAAAATTCCGGCACACCCCTCGCAGCATTGAAGAACGCAGTTTCTAACAACCGCTCGAAAATATCGATCGCCGCGATTTCCAATTGAATTTCTGAATATTTTTGACGAGGTTTGTATGAGTCGCACTGCCTGCACCGCCTTTTCTAGGGCAAGTGCCTCGGCAGTAAAATAACATGCACTTTCAGAATAAAATGTGCCGCCCATGATTACTGGCGCGGTCTGCTCTACACTCCTCCGCGTGCGAATCGCCTCAACAATCCAAGCTGCCGATGCGCATGAATCCCGCCAGCTCCCTCCGTCTGTGTGGACGATAAGATTAAGATCTTCCGCAGCCAGAGTGGCGGAGCAAATTTGGTACCAAGATCTGCCTTCGTCCATGGTGTAATTCGCGGGGTAGTCGGCGATTTTGTTCCAGTCCCGCTTCTGCCACAGAACGGCGTCCTCTACGTCTGTCGCCGGCCTCCACCCACGTTCAAAGATGTCGAAAATCATGTGGGTGATGCGGTCGAACATCGTTTCCTCCCTCCCTCGATCCTTCCTCCCTCCCTCCCCCCCCCTCCTCATCCTCGCTTTCCCAAGCAATTCTGGCACAAGCACGTGCAGGAGGTTGTCGAGTGTCGGCTCCACCCACTGTTCCCTCACATTTCGCGCGCGTCCACTCTGCCAGGCCTCGCGCCGTCACGTCGGTGATTGGGGTCCAACACGCCTCACTCGTCCAGTACGTAAACGTTCGCGTTCGTGTTGACGAAAGCGAGGCAGTTCAGTCAGAATCCTAGACCTGGCACGCCACGGTCTAAGGGCGTGGTCCTTTTGCAAAAGCTGCAACACACACCAGCGGAATGACGTGTTAGTGAAGGGGGGCGGGAAGTGTCGGCGTTGCGGCCGCTCCGTTGCCCTCCACAAGCCGAAGCTGACGGTCCAGCACTCTCAAGCCGAGGACACGCATCTGATCTAAGGAGGTGGCAAGGGCGGCAAGAAGAGCGGCAAGGACGTAGGCAACACCGAGGTGGACGCCGCCTCGCTGCTCGACCAGACGACCGCCATCACCACCGACCCGTCCATCAAGCTGGCGTTCTTGCCACAGCGCGCCCTGCTGGCATCCCAGCCGACGTCCGCGGCCCCTGCCCGAACATCCGAAGCCGCTCGGAAGGCGGAGGGGGCCTGAGGCGACGCGGACGCAAAGTATGCACAAGCAGTTCAACATGTCACCCGCTGTCATCCGAGTGGGTGACAGCCCAAACGGTGGCCAAGGCGGCGCTGGCAAGACAGATCGCCGTGAAGGCGCTGGCGCAAACGACGGGTTTGCACGTGGACGGCAGCTCCTCCCAGGTCAAGAAGGACATGTTCCACGTGGCCTGGGGCACGTCCTTCGTCGAGCCCTTCAACGCCATGGAAATCGAGGACCCGGAGAAGCGCGAGCTCAAGAAGGTCGAAGAGCAGCTCAGGCAGGCGAAGGAGACGATATCGGCGCGCTCCGAGGAGGTTCAGGCATGGCTCGCCAGCATGCATGTCATGAAGAAGGATGCGAAGGACAGGCTCACCAAGAAGCGCAAAACGGAGGCGGACAGCGCGAATGCCGCCCCTCCGTTGCCGCGGCTAGTCCCGCGAAGGAGGAGATCGACGCGAAGGCGGCTGCCCTGAGCGAGGCGCGTTTCCAGGCCGAGGAGGCCAACGTGACGGCCGAGCAAGCAGCCAAGACGGCCGCTGAGAGCGGCAACGCTACTGGGACATGAAGGCCCTAGTCTGCTGCGAGCCTCGTGGTCCCAGAGCTCGCAGTCCAGGCCTCACGGTCGCCCAGTACGGGCGGCACTTCCACGGGGACGTGCATAATTCTTTTCCTCTCATGTTCTGGCATCGTTCTGGAAGGTGTGTCACTTCCACGATGACGCCATCCACTCCTTCCCTTTCTGGCTCTACCGGTGGGGGCGACGGATGCGTCGCGCTCTATTTCGCCAACATCACGAGGTTGAGCGAGAATGCGCGGTCGCACACTTGTCGCGCAGCAGGAGCACCGCTCATACGACTTCGCAGGGCTCGTGGAGATTCAGTTGGGAGAGCTTCTAAAGCCGAAGTGGAGTGGCAATTTCAAGAGTCAGAAGACGACAGCTTTGTATCATCTCGGGCGCGGCTCAGGTCGTGGCAACAGTGAGCCCAGTCGCAGCAGGGTTCGTCCGACAGCATTTACAAGTGCACAGGCTTTCCATCGAGTCAAAGCATGTGTCAGATCTCGGTGCTGATGGGCAGTCTAGTTTTGATGGGTTTCTCTTTCTCAAAATACATGCCCAGGGGTACTCTCTAGTTTAGATATCTTGCTGTTTTCATTCATCTGTTGAAGTTGGAGGTTGTATTGCATCGCGTCTAGGTTAGGCGCATTCCTGCGCTCGCTCGCGTTACCGTCGCTCTGCATAGAAGATTGCAACGCGCCCCCTGGAAAGCTCGGGTCTTCGAGTTTGTTGCAGCGCGTGCGCTTAGTTGATGTCGCCTCCGACCGCGGCGCGCCGCGGTCTCCGCGCTGTGCACTGCGCGCTCGTCTCAGGCATTCTCGTAATGAGCTCGGAACGAGAATCCTCGCGACGGCCCCGAAGTTGCTCCGATTCTGTCGGGCTATACATTCTATCCAGTTGCGCCGCCCCACGGCGCCGCCGCCGCGCCCGGGGGGGCGCCCCGGCGGGGCCCAGGGCGGGCGCCGGGAGGGGGGGTGCGCCGAAGGCCCCTGCCCCAACCTTGCATCTGGGGGCACTTTCCCCCTGGGAGGCCAAAAAACGCAGGGGCCCGGTCATGGGAACGAAGCCATCTCGGGCTCGATGCGCAGGGGGTCAGGAGGGCCCTGCGCGCGCCCGCCGCTGCAAGCGCGGCGGCGGACCAACGGCAGGTTCGAAATCCAGCGCGGCCCGCGCCCAGCGCGCTGCCCAGGTCGCCCTTGCCATGGAGAAATCCATAGGAGAACCAGTCGAGCTTTCTGGAGATTTGTCTCGGGCCCCCCTCGCCGCCGAAGAGCAGGAGAGTTTTGTTTTCGGCAAAGGCCCCCTGGGCCCCCCCCCCAGCTTCTCCCAGGGGCTGCTCGTTGAACCCGACCCGCTCGAGGAGGAGAGCCTCTGGCCGCGCGATCTCGAGGCCGGGATTGTTCGCGGCAGCCCCGAGGCCGCGGTCAGCAAGCAGCTCGAGCATCGGATCGCCCGCGCTGCCCCCCCAGAGAGGGCCCCCCGCCCTCTGACTTCCACGTCTACTTCCACCGCTGGCATTTGGCTCGCACTAGCTGCGACTTCATTTCTCCCCGGGGCCATGCAGCGCACGCAAGTTGGGCGCCGATGCCAGGGCCTGTCGCGCGCCACGCGGGCGGGCCATAGATCCAATTCGTTTCTGCGACGCGCGCAGTGGAATCATTGCACCGAACGCGCTATTTCGGATCATCGCGGCGTTCCTCTCCCGGCGGCGGCGAGGGCCTCCGACCCGACGCCGGCCAGGCACCGCCTGGCAGGCGATGACTTTCAGGGGCGCACCTTTGCGCGGCAAAGGCACCTAGCGCTGGTCCGAAGCACTGCGAGCTTACCTGCGTGAGCAGAGGCGCCGCCAGAGACGTTCAGGCACGTGGCACTCGGCATGCGACGACAAGGCGCGCGGTCGGCGGGAGATATCCCCGGCGGCGCTCGCAACTGCGCCCCGCCAGCCGACGCGCCGAAGCGGGGCGCCTGGCTGCATTTCCCACGGCGTGATTTCGAACACCCTCAGCTACCCTTCGACCATTGCGTTCGGGAGCTCAGCGGGCCACCAAGAGGGCAGCCAGGAAGGCCATCGTCGACGTCGCATCGGCACTGGCGCAGGGCGCGATGCACGGCTGAAAAGGAAGAAGAAGGAGAAAACAAAGAAAAAAGAGAGAAACCAAAAAAAAGAGGCCCAAGATGATATCCATTCGAGCGATCATCAGCACATGTACCACCCTCGGACCCGCGGGACGTCACCGACGAGAACAGCAAGAAATGGCACCCACTCTTGCGCGACCTCAAGTTCAACCTTACGGAGGGGGACAAGGCTTTTGATCAGGTAATACGTTGGGCAGCAATCGATGCTCTTCCACCCGTCGACGGCGAAGATGCGCCAGTGGCTTCAGCAGAGATAAGCCTTGAGCAGGCTCGGGCATCGACCAGCCCACGCCGCTGGACGCGCAGCGCCTCCTTCCAGGAGGGCGCGAAACCATGGCAGAGGTCCTCGACGCCATCGAGGGGGCAGGGGCCTGGCCGACCCAGTCGCTCGCGGCGCTCGGGCGCCTTCTGCCCGAGAAATCTGGCGGGGGCAGGATCATTTGCATCCTCGCCATGGTCTGCAGGACGTGGTCTTTAGCTCGTGAGTGCCATTCGCGAGCTCGGGCCAGCGACGAGCCCGCCGACTGGGGCGACGCCGTCGCTAGCAATTCTGCGCCGCAGGAGGCCTTCATGAAAGCGGATGGTCATAAGCTCTCTCTCTCTCTCTTTCTCTCTTTCTCTCTCTCTCTCTCTCTATATATATATAGATATATCACAGACTAGGCGCTGCTCGCGGGTGCGCCATTTTAGACGTCGAACTGTTCTTCGGCGACACCCGACGAAGCAAGCTCGCAGGTGCCGCCGCGGGCCTCGGCTGGTCAAGAGCGGTTTTGCTTTTGGAGCTCCAATTGCGCATGGGGCTTCGGATATTATCAAAATTCGGTGCCTACTCGCAGCCGTTCCATGCTACGCGCAGCATCGCGCAAGGGCTCCGCAGCGGCGTTAGATCCGGACGATGTCTCGCGCGGCACGTCACGGAGGCACTGCGCACAGCGCAGGCCACTTCCAATCATTGGGTCTAGGTATATGACTTCTACCCTGGACGGCGCGGCTCCGGCGAGGCCGCGAGGGAGGCGCCGGTGGTCGGCGTCCATTTGGCGAGGGGCGAGCTCCGCGAGCAGGGGCTCTCACTTGCCGCCAAGAGCGCCGCGCCGCGCGGCTCCACGTCCAACTCCAAAGGCGGTGGTGCGCTAGCTGGGGAGGAGTGGCATCTGCATGCACACGGCATCTCAAGTAGGGCACCGCGGCGTGGATCTGGGAGATGACCGTCAAGCAGCTAGAGCCACTCGGGTCGCCAGGGCTGTCGAGATCACGGCTCGAAGCAAGAGGCTAAGAGGTTGCGAGTATGCTTCCACATGTCATGCCGTTGCCGAACGCGCACATATCGCTGGCTCGCAGGCGTTACCGAGCCACGCGCATCAGGTGCGCGGCATCTTCGGCATGGTGGAGTTCCGCAACATGCGTCGGCATGTAGGTGTCGTGGCAGGCGCTTTTCAACGACGGCTCTGTCTAACGGCACCCCTTGGTCTCAGGGCCTATGGACAGGACCCAGAAGCGCGGATGTTCCAAATGTGTTTCAAGCAATGATTGCCCACTTGGATTGCGCATCCTCAGATTCTCTGCGGCGCGCGTCGCATGCGGAGCAGGTTAGTCAATCTTATCAAGTCTCTCCTGCTCTCGGGCAGATCCAGACATGTTCGAGGCCCAGTCTCGGCAGTCGTCACCTACCCAGTGATTGCAGGGCGGGGCCCCCGGACGCCGTCACACCAGACAAGACTTGCACGTCATGGGCACTTTGAAGTGAGCTGGCTTTTGGACGACGAAGTCAAAGCTTCCAAACAAGTGGACCCATTTGATTGTCTGGTCGATTTCAGGGAATGCCTAGAGGGCGATTCGCGGCAACAGGCCGCCCGTGAGTTAGGCGGCGACGGCCTGGAGTGCGGAGCGGACGACACTCACTGCGCGCGCTTTTAGCCGGGCTCAGGGATTTGCCGCGCGGCCCCAACCTCGCGGAGCTGATGCTCACCATGTCGACGGACGGCCGCTGGACAAGGCAGCTCAAGTTCGAGCGCGACCTCTGCGATTCTCCCATTTTGCAGCGCTGCAAGGAGGTACCCGAGACTATGCTGCACAAGGGGCTGACTATGCAAGGCCAACCACAGTGCCAAAGCCCACAGCTTCACGGACGACCTTGTTCCCGAGGTGTTGGCGCCGGCAGTGGCAGAGTCGGCCGGCCTTTGCGATGCGTGGCCTCATCCACGCAGCGAGGGCTCGGGCGCCGCCGACAGCTGAAGTGGAGCAGCCGGTCATCACCAGTACCCAGCACAAAGATTTGAGGCCAGGGAGTCTGGGCACGGGCACCGTCGACGCACCGTGTCCTCTTTGCGGGGATGCTTCAGGAGGTGGTGACAGCAGGTAGCCAGCAGTCAGACGGGCAGGCATGGGTCTCGCAGTGGTCTCGGACGTTTTCTTTGCTGCGATTGACGTTGCAGTTTCTGCGCTTTTGACGGGCCGCGTGCACTCAGTGCCTCGGGGAGAGCTTCGCGCTTTTCAAGTAGGCCGCCAGAGGTTCGATCGGTCCAACGATATTCGTCGCAAACACGAAGCCGTCTGGCAAGGGCTAGCACGACCGCCGGCATCGCGAGTGCGTAGGCGAGTTGGACGCTTTGTGGAGAGAGATCGGCAGTCAAATCCAGGAGCGCGACCCAGCCGAATTTCTTGTTTTGCAGGTATATTCGCACCTGTCTGCTGAGGTTGCCGCCCACAAAGAAGATATAACATTGGATGTTGACTGGCAATGCTTTCGCAGATGCTGTCGCAGAGGGAGCCGCAGAGCGGTGTGGAGTCGACCTTCTCACACGTGTTCGTATTTTCGGTCGCGAACGCAAGGTAGGGGTTCGTTCGGAGGCTGCTCCTCAGAGCTTCCTTCGAGTCAGCGGCGACTGAGAGAGCAGCCGAGCGTGATGTCAGTTTCCGTTGCCACTGGTGTTGATGATGAGGCTCCTGCCCCTCCACCCCCCCTTCCCCCACCCACCTAATCCGTTAGTAGCTGCGCGTGTCAGCACATCCCATTCTCTCAGCGAGTGCGGATTCACATGTACCCGTTGCCACAGTAGTGCTACCCTTACCTCTGAAGCAGAGTGGCTAGGAACGCCCTGCTTCGAGTTAATCTCTGTCGATTCGGTCGTGTCACATATTCCTAAAGGGGGTCAAGCTGCATTAAGCTGGGGGATGGACGCATGAATCACACGAATGAACGTACCATCGCACTTTAGGGCACTGGTTATGTGGGAAGTGCGGTTTCCTTTGCACCCATAACCTTCGGAGCGATCCCAAAGGGATGTGCCACAAGCCCCCGAACGATACCAGGAGAGAGTACATGAATCGTATCAGGCGAGGGCTTGCTCCCACAGTGCTGAGTGCCGTCAAGAAGGCAGCACGTCGACGGCCATCTTAATTCATATGACCCCATCATGTTGTTATTCCTGTTCCTATTCCTCCTCATCCTCGTTTTACTCCTCCTCCTCCTCCTCCTCCTCCTCCTCCTCCTCTTCCTTCTCCTCCTCCCGCTCCTCCTCCCGCTAGCCCGAGTCGAGCCCAGGGAGGCCAGAGCATCAGTGTTGTGTTATGTTGTTTTTCCGGGCCCCTCCACATGCGCGGTGATTTCTGCACGAACGAATAAATTCAGACGTTTCGCGTCCTGGCGCCCTGGAACGGTCGAGTGGTGAAGGCCTTCAGCCGCCCTCCCCCCACACGTGTGAGGAGAGACTCTCTCGCCACTCGGCCGAGGTGGTCAAACAACCTCTGCACCCCCTGGGTGTTCTCAACCACATGAAATCCTCCTCCTCCGCCTCCTCCTCCTCCTCCTCCTCGTCCTCGTCCTCGTCCTCCTCCTCGTCCTCCTCCTCCTACGTTACCTCCTCCTCCCTCCTCCTTTCCCCCCTCCTCCTCCTTTTTCTCCTCCTTTTCCTCCTCCTCCTCCTCCTCCTCCTCCTCCTCCTCCTCCTCCTCCTCCTCCCATAGCCGTTTTGGCTCAATCCATTCTGGCTCAAATCCGTCCCTCCTTGGGGTCTCGCTCGAGGCCCCCTGGCCCAGCGCCGCGCCGCCCGCGTTCGTGGCCCGCGGTTCCATATGTTCTCGCGATGGCTTGCTCGGTTGACCCCGATCGAGCTGTTCCTGCCAGTGCTGCTAGCGTTGCTGACGTCTACCGACGGACTACGCACGATGCCGCACGTGCGTTCGGTGGCCGCCGTTGGCCCGGACACCCTGCTCACCGCCTGCGCTTTCGCTTGCGGCCGCGACCAGAAAAAAAAAGTGAACGCGAGCAGCAACATCTACGGCATGGCGCTGGACCGCTTCCTCCTCGTCCCGAAGTTGCCCCTGCTGGCAATCTACGTCCACAAGGTGGGGTTGGCCCGCTTCCTCTTCCTGATGCCGGTGGAGTGGCAGACGGTGCTTCTGTACGTGTCCCTCCTCTGGGCCACCTGCGTCCACATGGTGTTGGCCCGTTTCCTGCTCTTGCTGGCGCTGCCGAGAGCAGTGGCCCCATGCACGACCACCGCTCCGACGAGCTTCATGATGGAGACGCCCCTCTGCACCAACCTCTTGCTGCTGCTGGTGGAGATCTGCACGCTCCCAAAGAGCCTCCCGGTGAGGAAGCGCATCTGCACGAACCCCTGTTCTCGATCAGCTTCAAGATGAAGACGTTCGGCACGGACATCCTGATGCCGCCGCAGGTGGCGACCTGCATGCTCCCGTAGAGCACTCTGATGAAGACGCTCCTCTGCACGAGCCTCCTGATGCTGCCGCTGGTGGCGACCTGCATGCCCCCGCTCAGCTTCAAGGTGAAGACGTCATCCCTGCACGGTCCTATCGATGCTGCCACTGGTGGCGACATGCGACATGCATGCTCCCGAAGCGCCGCATGATGAGGAGACCTCCCTGCGAGTACTTCCTGTTCCTGCAGCTGGTGGCGAATGGCACGCTCCCGAACAGCTACAAGGCGAAGGCGCTCATCTGCACGATCCCCCTGATGCTGCCGCTGGTGGTGTCCCGTATGCCCCCGAGCAGCTTCGCGGTGAAGACGCCCTACTGCGCGAACCTCACGCTGCTTCCGCTGGTGGCGACCTGCCTGCGCCCGAAGAGTTTCCTGGTCTGCGCCAACGAGTCCCACTGCATGAACACGAGCTTCCTGGTGATGGATGACGGCCTTCCTCACCTGCCCGCTGCTACCGACACTGGCGGTGATCCTGCATGTCGACCTCCTGAAGATCAGCCTGGCGATCTGCACGACTTCGCTCCTGACGAGCTTCATGGTGATGATGCCCCTCTGCACGGACCCGCTGCTGGCGTCGCTGGTGGCGAACAGCATCGTCCACCAGTTCTGCTGCCCGCACCTACTCCCGAAGAGCCTCATGGTCCCGAAACCTCTCCCCACGCACCTGCTGCCGTCATTACTGGTGCCGTTCAACTGTTTTTGCGTCATGGCGTCGCCGATCCTTGGCACGCGCCTGATGAACATCCGGGCCCACGAGTCGTACTGCATGAACACGGGCTTCCTGGAGGCGACGGCCTTCGCCATATACCTGCTGCTGCCAGCACTGGCGGTGATCTTGCAGTGCGGCCGCTGCGCCGATTCGACAGGCGGCGCGACCATCCTTGTGAACCCGGTCTCTACCCACACCGCTTCGAAGAGAAAGCTGCGGAAACAAAACACCTCTCCGAGCTGAGCAGTCCGCGCGCCGCGACATCCAGCTCATCACCCCTCCCATCGTGTCGCTCCTGCCACAAGTCCCGCTGTTTGCTGCTTGCACGTTCCTCTCAATGTAGTTTGACAACTTCTGTGTCGTGTCTCGCTCTCGCGTCGGCAACCACAAACCCTCCCTCGCTGCTCAATGCGACCAGCTTGAGGTCGAGGACTCATCCCTCGCCGCACATCTGATGCCGCTCGAGGTGGAGGCCCCTTTTCATTTCAATTAGCCTGCTGTGCGTTCGGACCCGGGCGGACAGCGGACATCACGGTTATGTCGTCTCTCCTCCTCCTCCTCCTCCTCCTCCTCCTCCTCCTCTTCCTCCTCCTCCTCCTCCTCCTCCTCCTCCTCCTCCTCCTCCTCCTCCTCCTCCTCCTCCTCCCCCTCCTGGAAATCGAGGATGCCGACGAAGTTTTGGACGCGTTTCCGCGCCCTTGGGAGGTTCGGGGCGTCCCAGGAGGCGGGGTCGGGGGAGGTCCGTTCCCAGGAGGAGCCTGAGATCAGATGTTGCGCACACGCAAAACACCCCCAGCAAAGATCCCTGGAACTGTTTCTGCCGCAACTTTCGAGCTGGATCCATCTGAGGTGGTTTTAGGGCTTGAAACGATGACGATGACAATGACGACGCCATCGTCATCGTCATCGGCGAAAACGCCCAGGTCGAAAACAACTGCAGCGCCCCGATCTCTTGTGGTGAGCCGCCCCCTTGGCGTTGCCTGGCGCGTCCGCGTCCCGCTGGCCCTCGACGAGATCGAGGACGTCAGCGCCCTCGTCGACCGTTCCGCGCGCGCGGACTTCGAGGGTGCGGTGTTGGACGCGCAGGGTCGCGCCCTGCGCCCTGAGGATCGCCGCCGCCGCCGCTGCAGCTGTCGCCGACGCCGTCGTCGTCGTCGTCGTCGTCGTCGTCGTCGTCGTCGTCGTCGTCGTCGTCGTCGACGTCGTCGTCGTCGCCGTCGTCGTCGTCGTCATCGGCGGCGGCGGCGCGGCGGCGGCGGAAGAGGGCCAGTCGCCACCACGGGCGGCTCTCCCTGCAGGCCCAGATCCGCTCAGCATCGGCCGGGCGCTTTATCATGGACTGACCAGGGGCTGCACGAGAGGTGCACCTCTCTCCGCCCCCACTGACGACGACCATGACGACGACGACGACGATCGCCATCGTCATCGCCAGCGTCATCGTTCGTTGCCCCCCGTCAAGCAGGGCCCGAATCGGCCCCCGGACCCCTCCAACGATCCATCCCGGCCCGCTGCGTCGGCGCGGGCCGCGCCGCGGCGACGGGAGGCCTCCTGGAGGCCTCCTGGAGGCCTCGGAGGAACGCCAGGGACGCTGGCCGACGGGTTCGACTCAGGAGGGAAGAAAACACACAGACACAAGTAATCGTCGATTCCCGAGGAAATATGGGAAAATAGGGGAAGTGGGGGGGAGGACGAAAACCCAGAAAATATAGGAAAATCTGGGAAATTATTTTATTTGTGTGTATTTATTTGTGTGTCCCAGGGTCCCTTCACCGATGTCCTACCGCCCTTGGAGCTGGAGGCTCTCTCTAGGGGAACGAACAGTGACATAAACCAAAAAACTCTGAGGTCCGCGCGGATGTCTCGGATCCGCGCTGGACCCCCCTGGCGGCGCCTCCGGTGCCGCCCCTGGCGCGCTCCGCGCGCCAGGGAAGGGGGTGGGTCCAGCGCCGATCCTAGAAATCCGCGCGGACCTCCGGGTGTTTATGCTTATGCCATTCTTCGTTCCCCTACTCTCAGCTCACCGCTGATGAAAAGAGGAGAGGGCCTGAGATTGAAGCACGTCGTCGAGAGTGGCCCCTTGACTCGGGATGGAGGCCCCGCAGCAGACGACGACTCATGGTATACCGTCGGGCCCCGTCCCCCCATTGGTCGTCGTGGCCCCTCGCCATGGGCACCTCCTCCGAGAGGATGCGTTCCCGCGCTGCTGCCGCGTGGTCGCCATCTCGGACACCCACTGCCTGCACGGACAGCTGCACCACGTGGCAGGGCTTACCCAGACCTCTAGCGCATTGAGCAAAAGCAGGACGGAGGCTTTTCGCCGTTTCCGGCGTCTGAGGGCCCCCGCCATGCACCAGGACCGTCAACAAAAACAATCCAGGACGAACAAAATGTCCCCAGGAGGTGGTCCAGAGCTCCGGTCCCGCCTCGAAAAATCGAGGCATCAGAGGCCTGGCTAGGGCGTTCGCGCACGTGGACGACCCCCGGGACGGCAGCCCGGGGCCGATCGGGGCCGGCCCAGCCCATTTCGGCATGCGCTTTCGGAGCTTTCCTCGGTTTATCTTGCGCTGGCGCTGGACTCCTCTGCGGCGCCTCCCGCGCCGTCCGGGCGCCAGGGAGGGGTGTCCAGCGCCGATCCAGGAGATCCGCGCGGAGCGCCGAAGGTTTACAGTCGGCCCGGATTAGTAGGTCGACCCAGCCAAATCAAGGGTACCCTTGTGTCCTGTGTCTCGCGACCCATGCTTCCTACATTCCTGTGGCAGTGTGGCCCTCGGAAGGGCCTTTTGTCCTCTCGCGTGTCCTGTCCAGTGAAGTCCGACTGTATGTTTTCGCAGATGTCTCTGCTGCGCCACACTCCGGGTCGAGGTGCTGAGGCTGCCCCGGGCTGCCCCGGGGGCCCGCTGAGGCCGGCTCGCACCGCCTCTGCGCTCTGGGGCCAGGGTTTCGCCGAGGGGGGGGAGCAGTCCAATCAAGGTACGAGCCCAGCTGGATGCTCACGTTTCCTTCCTCCAGGGGCCGTTGGGAGCGAGTTGCCTCCAACCTCACCCCCCTGCCCCTGCCCCTGCCCCCCCCCCCTCTACGTCCCCCCGACGGGGGCTGCCCGTGCCGCCGCCCCAAGCTCTGCCACGACACCACCTCCCCCGTGGCGACGTCCTCGTCCACTGCGGCGACTTCACCAACACGGGCAGCGCCGCCGAGTACTCCGCCTTCGAGGGCTGGCTCTCGCGGGTGGCGGCGCCCCGCTTCGGGGAGCGCATCTTCTGCATCCTGGGCAACCACGACGCCCCCGCGCGGCTGGTGCAGCGCCAGGCCCTGCTGCCGCACGCGCAGGTGGGTGGCAGAAGCGAGCGGGGTCGACTGCGCCGACGTTCCCGCGTGCGCCGCGCCGGCGGCCCGCGCAAGCTGCGGCGCGTGAGCTCGCCGTGCCATATCTCGCGTCGCGCCCGTTTGCGCCCCGCCCCGCAGGTGCTGAAGTGCCAGCTGGCGAAGCAGCGCCTGCTGCCCGCCGGCATGCGGCTCTTCGGCCTCTCGTGGCCCCAGCGGCCGCCCGCGGGGGGCCTCCCGGAGCCCCGCGTGGACGTGCTCCTCACGCACAGCCCGCCGGGCGGCCTCCTCGACGCCAACCACTGGGGCGCGCACAGCGGCGACAGGGAGGTGGCGCAGCTGCTTGAGCGCCGCGGTGGCCTTGGCCCTTCTCGGGGGGGGACAGCCGGCCACAGTTCCATAGCTTTGCGGCCTTGGAGCCCCCGCGCTTCATCTGTCTAGCTGCGTGGCTGCGTGTGCGTGCGCGTAGCACACGAGGGAAGCAACAGTCGGGCCAGCCATCCGGCGGCGCACGACTGGCCGATCCACCGGCGACCGAAGACACCAACAGGGCAACCGCAGACCGAGCCGATTCGAAATCGGCGCAGCTTCTTCCCGGGTGGGCCCGAGGTCGCCAAGAACGACAGGGGGCGAACACGAGCCCGCGAGGGTTCTTCTCTCACCCTCGGAGAGTCTGCTTGGCTGCCACCCTCTCGCGCCCCCGCGAGGGTCTTCTTCCCCCTCGCAGGGCCAGGGCGTCCAGGGGGTGATGCATCGCCCACTCATCGCCGATAGGGGCCTGTTAGCCCCCCCCCCCCCATGAACGTGCGGATTCGCTATCGGGACCTGTCGCCGATCTGTCGGCGATGCATCGCCGATTCCAGCTCGATGTTTCCCCCCTTAGCCGGTCCCCCCCTGCTGTGGCCCCTTCTTTGAGCAACGGTAAAAAAAACGGGGTCGACTGCGCGGACACTTGCGCGTCATTCTCTGGCGCCATGTCCGCGCACGGTGGCGCGCAAGCGCCCAGTTTGCTCCACGCGGTGTGCCCCGCTGGCGGCCCGCGTGAGCCGCGGCGCGAGAGGTCGCTGTGCGATCCGTGCGTAGGACCCGTCTCTGTTCGCAGCCCAGCCGTGCTGGCTCCCGGCCCCCGGCGGAGGCGAGGCCACCGCGGCTCCCCTCCTCCTCCTCCTCCTCCTCCTCCTCCTCCTCCTCCTCCTCCTCCTCCTCCTCCTCCTCCTCCTCCTCCTCCTCCTCGTTCTCCCTCTACGCGGTGTGCCCCGCTGGCGGCCCGCGTGAGCCGCGGCGTGTGAGGTCGCTGTGCGATCCGTGCGCAGGACCCGTCTCTGTTCGCAGCCCAGCCGTGCTGGCTCCCGGCCCCCGGCGGAGGCGAGGCCACCGCGGCTCCAGCGGCACGCCCCGCGCCTGCACCTGTTCGGGCACATCTCGAGGAACAGAACCGAAGAGCCATAACTGTTCGGAGCTCCGTGCCGATTTCCTGGGTCGGCGCTGGAACTCCCCTGGCGGCACCTCTAGCCAGCTTCGCCTCCGGCGCCCTCCGCGCGCCAGGGAGGGGCGTCCGGTGAAGTCCGCGCGGAGCTCTGAAAGGTTATGCTTATGCTTTTGTGGTCCTCCACATCCACGAAGCGTACGGCGAGCACCTCGCCCGCCACGGCGGTGGCCGGTGCTCTCTGCTGCTCAACGTCAGCAACGCCGCCCGGCCGCTGGACTTGCCGCCCGTGGTGCCAGAGTGCATCCAGTATCCGGTCACTGTGATTCGGCAGGCCTGCGCTGCGCCCGGCGAACCCGCTCCGCCTTGGAGGGTCGAAGGAGTCGTCATCTCTTCCTCGGCGGAAGGCGGCGGAAGGCCAGCGAAAGGCGGCGGAAGTACAACGGGGACGAGTCCGCGGGTGGACGGCCGGCGGAAGGCGGCAGTAAAAGATACGCCCCCAAGAGGTGAAGGCATTTTGGGGCTCAGGGTTTCCCGGATCGGCCACATCCCGCAGCTAGGCATTGGCCGAGGGTCGTGATTCCAGGTCCGCCGCGCGTTGGGCGATTTCGCAAGTAGGGCGGAAATGCCCGCCCTACTCTCCAAGCTCCTTTGATGCCGATTTCCGCCCTGCTTTGCCGTCGCGGTTTTCGCCACACCTTCGCGGAGACGTCAGCATGATTTTCTTGGGTGGGAACATCCGCCCAACTTTTTCGCATCTGTTGGGGTGCACTTCCGATTCGATTCAAGTGTAAGCCGGAGCATCAGACAAAGTATGGCGGATCCAGAGTCAGGGAGGCCCCCGTACGGGTTCTGTGCGCGCGGCCCTTCCTGGGGCCCCTCCTCGGGCATCTCGTTCTGAGAGCCCTTTGGGATCCTCAGAGGCAAAGTTGTCCCAGGGGCCCCTCCTCGAGCCCCTCCTCGAGCCCCTCCTCGGGCATCTCACTCTGAGAGCCCCTTGGGATCCTCAGAGGCAAGGTTGTCCCAGGGGCCCCTCCTCGAGCCCCTCCTCCTCCTCCTCCTCCTCCTCCTCCTCCACCTCCTCCTCCTCCTCCTCCTCCTCCTCCTCCTCCTTCGTGGGGCCCCTCCTCGGGCATCTCACTCTGAGAGCCCTTTGGGATCCTCAGGGGCAAGGTTGTCCCAGGGGCGTCCGGTCACGAACTGTGGCTTAGAGTGCCGCTCCGCCGGTTCTGGCCCACCACGCTTCGGCGCGACACGCCACACACGTCCCCAGTCCCACGCATCGACGTCCCGAGCTTTTCCCAGCGTCACAGCCCCCCACCACGCGGAGCGGAGCGACGCGCTTTCCGCTTGCAAGGCATAGCGTGTCGCTGGGGCCGCCGCCGCGACACGCTGAGCAAAAGTTCCCGACCGTATCGGAATGTCCTTGCGGCCTCCGTGGCCCATTTCGGCCGCCTTGGCAGCAGAGTGGCTCCATGAGCCCGGGGCTCCCGTTCATTTTGCGTTGTCCTGAGCACCCCCTGGGCACCCACGCTCTCCCCCGACTGCGAAGCTCTGCCCCCCCCCCTTTGAGATCCCGGCGCGGAATGTCTGCTCACGCCGGGCGTTTTTGCTCCGCGTCGGGCCCTTGCAGACCATCACAGACACATCGAGCTCGAGAAGTGCTGCAGACAGATGGGGCCCAGGGGTCAAGGCGTGAGCTTTCGCGATGCTGCATTTCTGTTCGCCGCGTCGGACGTCTTGGGGGCCCGGGTCTCCGACGGATTGAGTGCTTCCATCCGCGGGCCGCGCGCTCCAGAGGTCTCAGCTGCCTGGGCCCGGCCTGTCGCCGTGGATCCGTGTGTTGACGGCCTCCCCCGACGCCCAGAGCGACCCCCCATAGTCAAGTGGGGAAAAACCACCCCGACCCCGATAATTGGCGTTTCCTGAACGGCCCGGGGCGTTGACGAAAGAGCCCTGCCCTGTTCGATCACTTCTTTAAGGCCTTTGCTGATATCGGGGTGCTCACTATGAGGGTGGTCGTTCTGCTCCCTGCATAGCTCGAAAGGGAGGAGGCGCCCCGGGATTGGCAAGGTCAGCCTGCTGCGGTCGGCCACGCGCAGGTGCGGCGCTCCGCCAGCGCGGCTTCCCGTGCGCGGCGTTCGGGGGGCCGAGCCCGAGCGCGCAAGCCGCTGCCGTCGCACCGCGTGCAACGATCGGCAGGCCGCGCACCACGGGCCACCTCTTGCCCAGGGCCGCCCCTGCGCGCAGCCGACGGGAGGCTCCTGGGGGGGACACCCAGGTGTCGGAAACAATTAAGCAACACTCATGCAGAACACATGGTTTGAACCTCCCCCCCCCTCCCCCCACATGCAATGTTGGTTTCGGATCTTCCGATTTTGGGCCTCCGAGCGGTCTTGCGAAAACCTGTCAACTTTGAATTGCGGGGGAGGGGGCGAGGGGGGGTTAATTGTTTCCCTCAACCGCCGCACGCGCCAGCAGCCCCAGCGAGGGTCGGCGGATCGACCTGGAGCTGCCGCCCGGGGCGGCGGAGCCGCCCGGCGGAGGCGCCCGGCGGCGGCGGCGGACTCCGCGCCGCCTGCGCGCTGGCGGGCGCGACGTGGCACCCGCCGCTG